TTTCTGACTACGACTGTGAAAAGGCAACATCTTTCCAGATATCTGACTGGAAATTAATATATAGCCTTCCTACATTAAAACCATGCTTTTGTTCCTCAAGTGTTTCCAGGTGAACAGATTGGTTTCGCAAAACTATCGTTCATTTTGAAGACACATCGATTTCAACTGTGCCCCACTTGAAGGGGTCATTAGTGGGGCACAATTCAGATCTACACAATACAGAGCAGTCTGGCTACCTCCCTGTACTTGAAGAGCTGTTTTGTTCAGGGTGTTGCAGGTTTATGGAAAAATTATAATTGATTTGGAGCAAAATTAAGTTACAGCGAGATTCCTGCTTGGTATAGTTTCTTGCAAGAACATACTGAACTAAAGGGGGGGAGAACACAATGGTGACACAGTGCTGCTAATTGCATTTGACCCCCAAATTACTCCNTTTTTAGCCTTTGTAAGCAAATAATAAGTTCATTAATGTGAAAGGAGACTCCCAACGTAGGATGTGGCCCTACAACTATTCAACTGAGCCCGACTGATACACAATTGATAAATAGCTTGCGGTATTGCACTTCAAAATTTGGGCTGAGCTTCCACTGGTTGAACTTATCAGCATACCCTGAGAATGGGAAAATCCTTCCAACAAATTAGTGAAAACCAACGAGTGGAAAGGTCTGCCATAAAAGCCCGATTCAAGTAACTACTGACGGAGTCAAACAAACTTGTGTCAGGCAAACAGTAGTGCAAATGTCACCTAGACACCAGAAAAAGTGCCTTGAGACCCGGATGTCATCTTCTGCAGGAGACCCCATGCATCTCCTGACAATCCACAAGAATTTGGTTTCCACCTAAGATCCTCTAGGAAGCAAGTTCTCACAAGTCGGCATGACCTATGAATGGTTCCTGCAGGAGATGTGCTATCCATCCTGAGGCATCCTTTCCATTATTGAGGCTTTGTGTATGCTGCTGTTTTCTTGACAACTTTTCCAACCCTAAATTGGCAAATACTGAAATAATCTAATCTGCTGCTGATTGGAATATGGCTTTTAATAGTATTACGCATTAAAAGGAATCGTCATGTGAAAGCAGCATTTTTCTTATTATGAGCGTTGTTCTTTGTGCTGTTGCAGAATAAATACTCTTTTTTAATATTTTGGCATTTATTTTGTAACTTAAAAGAAAATACAGTGAAACATTCTGTCCCTGGTTCTAACCATGTATCAAACAACCCAGATATAACCTTGTTTTACAGTAAAAAACTTCGAAGAATTTGTTCCAAAATAAATTCATAGTGCAGTTTTTTAAAGAAAAATGTTTTGACTGCTTTCTTCTTTGCAAACGCAGCTGTTGTTTGAACCCAGCACTCCTATGTTACAGACACACGCAATGACCTTGACATTAATTGGTGTTTGAATGGGGCCTGTGATGCGTGTGATGTTTCAGTATCTTTTCACTGTCTGTCGTGTGTACTCCACCCTTAATGACAGCTAATGATGTGATCCTGGGTGAACTTTGTCATCAAACAGGAACTATGCTTATATACAGACACTACTGAGATATGCCAAGAAGCCAAACATCCGTCCAGGAAATGTCCCTTTTGGGAGGTTCAGCCATTGCCTGAGGATCTAGACTGCAGCAGAAGTAGTAATGCCTGTTTACAGGAATAATGTTCCACAATTCTCCAGCGTGGACAGATACGTTTGTCCTTTCTGAAACTCCTCAATGATCTCCGTCTTTCCCAGGACCCATCACGGCTTGGTGGGAGGAGGGAAGGAAGTGAGAGAACTATAGTGATAACATTTTTCAGACACTTAACTGTATATTTTAGAAACAAAAACAGATTGACAAATTTATTTTTATTTATTTCCAAAATCTTGATGAACTACACAACAACAACAACAATTTGGATTTGTGATGACCATGTGATGAATGTGACATGGGGTGGGAGTAGGGGGGGAGGATGATTTGTGATGTGTGATGTGATGAATAACACCTGCAAAGTGTACAAAGTTCATGGTGCTTTTTGTCCTGTATTTAGTGACCGGTTTGAGGTAGAATCTCCCCCCCCCCCCCCCCCTCATTTCCATCCCACGACCTCATCACTTTGTTAATATTTTGAAATCCAAAGATGTGAGGGGTTGCGTTATTTTGAATTGTAGCCTTTAGAACATTTTTTTAACTTTAGTACTTTAGTGTTAGAATTATTTTTAGGTCATTATCTAGTGAAGAAGTACAACATCCTTGTTTTCTGCAGCCTGAGCCAAACTCAAGGCCCGGGACAGTGCAGATATTTGTGCTTCTTTCCTTGGGACAGTAACCTTAAAATGATCACTGGTGATAATTATCACATCACAATTGCAAATTCACCCCCCTCTTTATTTATTATTGTACCTGTTTGTGCGCTAAATAATAATGCTTACATTTGATATATCATGTCAGTAGGACTTCTCAAAGCACTTCACAGGATTTTACATAAAACGTAGTGACTGTGTATTTTTCTTGTAGGCAATTAACATACAATTCTTCTTGTAAGTCTCCCTTGATGGTGTTTGTCAGTTTATCCTGGGTGTAACAACTGGAAAGTCACCAAATTCTACCCCACGTCTGCACTGAGCTATCGAAGCTCAGCAGGAATAATAATAATTACAGCTCTACAATTGGCCTAAGCCCCTTGGGTTAGGAAGGGAAAAAACATCCAGCGTTCCCATTCCTGGTACCCATCCAGGAACCCCTCTGGAAGTGCACTGTGTAAATGGCAGATGAGAACAGCCTCAGCTGCAATTCCTGCCCCAGACTCCCCTATGTTCATATAACCTGCCAAAACTCACTGACAACGCTCACACATGAATAATGGCTAACACCCAAAGGGCAGTGAAGACAGACAAGTTGGAAGTTGCAAATCTGTTTTGGCAATAGTGAGCAAAAACTGCTAATGTATTAAGCTGTTAGTATAATTTTATTCATTAAAATAATCTGGTGATGCCCAGCTGTGCAACTAGTGTTGCCACAGCAAGTCCCCCTTCCATGAAGTTTCTCAACCAATAAGTGTTTAACCATTGGTACAAAATTTGGGGCTAGATACCTTAAAACAAATCTTATTGTTAAGAAATTATTAAATTTTATACCTGAGTGAAGGAAGAACAAATGGAGTCTTGCTCTGCTGGCAACAAGACTATTTGAAATGTGAAGTGAGTTTCTCCCAGTGTCTTGGCCAACAATTGACCACATGAAATTGGTTGCCGCATTTGTCTACAAATACACAGTTACTAGAATTTACAGTGAATTCCTGTGAAGTGATTTGAGATATTTCAACAACATTTATAAATCCTCCAAGAACATTAACCACCAGTTGTGGTGGGGGATGACTGATAAAACAGGCATTTAGGTGGTAGATTGATGACTGGTGGGAAGTAGGGGAAGAACTACTAAGCCAACACAAAGATAGGCCATGTTATACTGCTAAATCTTTCTTTTTAACTGATGAACAAGTTAGTAAACTTGTGGCATTCATTTTGAGCCATGTCTTAACCATGGCTGCCCTGGGAATGTAAGCAATTTGGAGTTTGTCCAGGATTTCTATTATATGGAACTTCATTGTTAATACTCCCATTCAATGAGTTATTCCATTTTCTCAATGTTAAATTAATTTCCCACAACCTCCTTTGACAATCTGCACAATGCAGGACGAGCTTCTTTTTAAGGGACAAATTTAATAGGAAATCGTAAACTTCCATCTTTTGAAAGAATTTCTGTCAAATTTTAAGTTCTATCTCATGTATTTTCAACTTGATTCCCTCCTCTGTTACATAAATGTCCAGTCGGCGTACTTGAAATAGGCAACCATAAGCTCTTTCACATCTCCAGTACTAATGCTCTTGTGTGAAGTGGCTAATTGTATTTAAAGGGTCTGCATCAAGGTATGGGTATGAAAGAAAATTATGCCAAAAAGTTACAAATGTACAAGCATCACCTGTTTTATTTATTATAGTTTTCCCCTGTCTGGCCTGACCTCCACTGTAGTACACCTGAAAAGTTAATGATCTCGGCTCTGCCATTTTCTTGCAGAGGCACAGGGACTCACAAAGTTCTATGTGGAGCAGATTGAACAATGTTTTATTGGAGAATTTAATCGAATTGTGTTTCTGTGAGATTCAAAAATAACACCAAAATAACATTTCTACCAATTTACGCAGCCAAGTTACTAGTAACTTCTTCTACAATCCTTAACAATTTGTTTGTCAATAACATCAGAAAATATTTTTTTTATTACAGAATTGTGAAATGCATGCCAATATATACTAAACTGAGATTAGATGCTAAAGATAATCAATAGAAATTGAGAGTGTCAAGATTAGTGATAAGATAAATGAAAGCCCACAATTTTGGGCTACTTTACTATTTCTACTGATAAACCACCATAACAACAATAACAATTTACATTTATACAGGGCCTTTCATGTTGGGAGGACATCCTAAATTACTTAACACAGCTGACTGGGTAGAGAACCAGTGGGGGAGTGGGGGGGTGGACATGACTAAAAGCACGATTGAAGAGATAGGTCTAAAGGTGGACTTCAAAGGTGGGGAGGGATGTAGCGAGGCACAGGGACTCACAAAGTTTATCATAAAACATAGTTCAGGATTTTTTTAAAAATGAATTAGTGAAGTGTAATGTTTTGGGCAAACCAAAGTGAATTTAAATGATGCAACGCTTTTCCCGTATACTACATTTTTAAACATTCTTTACGGACTGTTGGCAACACTCGTCATCCACTGCAGATACCTTTATTGAGAGTTTTTTTTTCCAAGTCTACTTTTTTTATAGAAAACACTCTCAACCTTTCTGCATTGGAATGAAAATGTGGAATACTTGCGCAACCATGGCTGGAATGTGTGAAACTTTTATAGAGTGGTACAAAAGAGAGAGTACTGAAATGGCAGTGTGGAATACTGATGCTGAACAATAATCCCACGATTTCTTAACCCTTCTGTCGAATCTGTTTTCCCAGGAGATGAACGAGTGAGAGGGCAAGCAGGGCTTCTCTCTGAACGTCGAGGGTCCTACCCATTCATTGATTTTCGCCTACTGAATAGTAAGTACCAACCAAACTCTTGAGACCAAAACCTTTACACAATACATTTGTAAAATTTTTATAAAATTACATTTGCACAGCGCCTTTCACATCAGGAGGACATCCCAAAGCGCTGAATATTCAGGGATTTGGACCCGAGCAGGGGCGGTTAGAATCAGGGCGGGTGGAAGGCAACGGGAGTATTCCCAGCAAACTGTGATCTTACTGAATTTCTGGAATCAGGTATGGGATTGTTCCAAACTTGCAGTAGATAAAAACGCAGGAGAAAAGCCATCTTGTTAGTCAGTTATACTGCACCTTTACCATTGCATCAACATGATGTGCATACCCATTAGAAACCACATGGATGATATGTAGTATGGAAATGAAAAAGGCATTTTCATAAAATTTTCAAAGAAAAGGGGGAAGCTGAACTCCTTAAGTTCCATATGTTTCATTCATTCACTATTCTAGTACAAACTCAAGGCTACCTAGAAATAGATTTTTTTAAAGTAATTTTTGCTTAGAGACTCCCGTCTAGAACTCTGAACCTGAACTACAGGATTATGGATTATTCTTTGAATTTAAGGATAGAGAAATTGATGTGCACTTACTGTTTGTTCCATTTATTCCAGAGTGTGCAAAAATATTTAGCCTGTGAGAGCTTTAATGATTCCCTGCAAAGGAGTTAGAAGCCTTGTAATTTGAAAGGTTAATTAATTCATGATGCTCCAGTCTTGTGATCCATCCTTATCTAATGTCCTGTAGCTCAGTGGTTAGAGCACTAGTCTTGCAAGCGAGACACCTGGGTTCAATTCCAGGCAGGGCGAAACCTTGCGCAAGTTTCCTTACTCCACACGCCTAATATAATCCCTCCAAAACAAAACAATAATAAATTGGCCATTTTCAATCCACGACTGTTTGTGGGACATTGCTGTGCGCAATTGGCTGTCACGTTTTGCCCACAAATATACAGTCAATTCACTTTACAGTATATTCTGTGAAGCGCTTTAAGACATCTAGAAGACGTGAAAAGCGCAATATCAAATGCAAGGATTATTATTAATATTATTATCACCTGTACAAAAATAAATAAAAACAATACAATACAAAATTACATTTGTATAGCACCATTCACGTCGGGGGGGCATCCCAAGGCATTGGACAGTCAGATGATAGCTAACAAAATTAAGAAGGGGTAGATCCTTGCCCCTTCCATTGTATTTATACCGACTTTGGAAAAACTTTTAAGATTGAAAACAATTATGTTTTAAAGTTCTCAAACAGACCTTTGTATTGTCCCTCAGCTTTCTAATGTTATTAAGTGTCATGTGACTGGCTCTTCAATAATATTGAAAAACTAGCCAGCATTTAGCCTTCATTGCTAGATGTTCAGAGCTCTCTTCACCTCCTGACCAGTACAATTAAGGAGCAGGATATTAAGATGCCGTTTCCTGCTCTGAAATGAGAATGAATCACTGAATCAGTATAAATCCAGCATTCGTGATATTTAATTCCTTTTACGAGTTAATTCTTTTTAATCATGGTGCTTCATTATAGATGCCCCTTTCAACAAAATTGCATCCAGATCAGAAATGTATAATAATACGTTGTAAGATATGCAGAGATTTATTTTTCCCAGCATTAGAATATTTTCTCTTTTTCTTTTTAAGATCAGGAACTGCTTAGGAAGGGATGCATTGAGGGAATCATTCTGTGTTTTCTTGCTAAACTTTAAATTGGTCATATATATTTGTGCTAATTTGTATGTGAAGAATCCAAGTGGTTGTATACAGTGAGTATATGTTTGTTTTTTTGGCGGGACAGGAGCAGTTACAGTAAAATAACTCACTACTTTGAGTCCTCTCAGAGAAAATTAGTAAGGAACCCATGCTCACTATGTAAAGGACAGGCCGTAATGTCTCTGCACAAACTACACTATGCACTTCGTGGCTAATAAGAGACAAACTTGGTTTGTGTTTAAGTGAGACTACACCATGCTTCATTAAAGCAATAGCACATTTTATACAATCTTTTTCTCTTTAATTGTATTAACCTGACTTGGTTATAACTGGCATAAACAATCAAAATATTTCTGATCTGTTTTCACCATAATGACATACCGTATTAAGGCAGTCTCTGGCATTAATGTCAGTATCAAAGCACTCTAAATAATGGCAATCAGTTCTGCATTACAATTGTTGTACTCAAATCCATTTGCAACCAAATTTAATTCATAGAAATATTCAGAATTGTATCTCAAAGCACATAAGTCAAATCATTTTACAAAGTTTACCAAACTGCAGTTAAATGTTGAGTGGCTTCTGTGCTTGGCCTAGCTTGGGAGCAATCTCACTGTGTCAGTGGGGCAAAAAGTTGTGGGACTTGGGGACTTTAAGCTTGTACTCTAGGCTGACACTCTAATACATTGCTGGAAAGTGCTGCCCAGTTGGAGATCACAAGAGAGCTTTGGATCAAAGCTTTTTGATCTCATCTTTCTAGAATACATAGAATAGAATTAATAGATGGCAACAGATGTAAACTATTATTGGGGATTTGCTATAGACCACCAGGCCAGGGTGATAGCCTTGATATGGAATTGTGGGATGAGATAAGGAAGGTTGCCGAACAACTGTGCAAACTTAAGGTAAACAAATCTCAAAGGCTGGATAAATTGTATCTGAAGATCTTTAACAAACTAAAGGAGGAAATTGCAGGAACTCTGGCACAAATCTTTCAGAAATCACTGGATACTGGATAGGTACCTGGGAACTGGAGAAAGGCAAATGTTACTCCTTTTTTTTAAAAAGGTAGCAAATGTGACCAAGGAAACCATACACTAGTCAGTTTGATGTCCATTGTCAAGCGACTGCCAGGACGGTGGAGGGCGAACTAGATGGACCTTGGTCTTCTCTCGCTTAGCAAGTTCTTATGTTCTTATGTAATACCCACCTACCTATCCTCTCATCATGGCATCAAACTGTTTAAATACCATGTTTCAGATAAGACATTAAACCAAGGTCCTGAAGGTTCAGGTGGACATTAAAGTCCATGGTACTATTGGCATTCATATAAAGAAAGACATTTCTCCCAGTTTCCTGGACAATAATCCTCCAGATAATATCGGCCATTCACCTCGTTGCTGTTGGTGGGATATTGTTGTGTGCAAATTTGCTGTGGCATATTCATACATAGTCACTAGACATAATTATTGTAAAGTGCATTGGGACATTTCAATGTATAGGCATTACGATTACATCAAATGCAAGGATTATTATTGTACTATTGGCCATGCACAGAGGTAAAGCACTTGAGTGATTAAAGTCCATTTCCTGTGCTGATTTTGCAGAGCTTGTCTCAACATAGTTCTGTAGCACCTGTTTCCTGCTTTGTGTAATGCAAGTTTTAAAGAGGAAACATTCAAAGAGATGAAGCGTGTGCACACAAACATTCTGTTAAATTGCTAGAATGCATTTGACATATCAGAAGTGGTTTGTTTATAAGTGCTATTTAAATGCAAATTTGCTAAGTCCCACGTGAAAAACGACTTTTAATAAACCAAATTCAATTCCATTTAAACATAATAAGGGAAGAGTCTCCAAAATATCACAGAATTCCACCTGGGTCATCTTCTTCCCAAACCCAACATCAACATCATACATACTTTGGTGAACACTTGTCATCAACATCTCATTTAGTTCCAAAATGAATATGCAATCCCTAGTTGCATTTCTCTGTAATACATTTAGCATTTTCAATAGTCTGCATAAAGTAGGCAAATATCCTTTATCATCCGGCTGTTGGATGGGAATGAGAGTAGAGAAGAACCAGTGTGATCCAACACACACTGAACTTCTCATTCTTGATTCCATTATAAACCCTTAACTGGAGGTTTACTAGGTAACCTCCTCCCCCTCTCTCTTGCCTGCGTCCAATCCTGTCACTGTCCAGCCCTGCCAGTCCATTCTGTATGAAGGAGTATATAAATGTAAGTTGCTGTCGTGTTTCTGATCACTGTGTGATGGTCTTCTCTTTGAGCTCCATCAATACCCTCCAGCAAGATAACAGTTTTCGTAAGGTTGGAGCCAGTGGACTAGATGAAGACGACTCACCTGTAGGAATACCTGAGCATTACTCCGTTAATAAATTACGGCCCTGTGGAAACTTAGGATTTGAATTTGCAAACACATAGAAAGAAATGAATTAATCAGGGATTGCAATGGATGTGGTATATTTAGATTTGCAAAAAGCTTTTGATAAGGTGCCGCATAAGAACTAAAAAGGAACATGGCAGTTTAGAAAGAGATCACAGAGAGTTTTGGATGAAAAATGTGTTCAGCCCATTTCATCTTGTGTTTCCTGAATACCCACCGTACTGTTCTCTCATCACAGCATAGTTTTTTTTCAAATGAAAAAAGCTTCCTGGCCTCCACAATCCTTCCCGGTAACTTGTTCGACTTGTTAATTATCCTCTGGGGAAAGAAATACTTCCTGGTATCTTTCCTGCAATTGCCTTTAGTGACCTTAAACCCATGTCCTCTTGTTCTACTGTCTTGGTGCATCTGAAAGAATGATTCTGGGTTTACCCTGATAAGGCAGAGAGGACTTTGGTTTAACGTCTCATCTGAAGGACATCACTTCTGATAGGGCAGCACTCTCCTAGCACTGCAATGGAGTGCGAGCAAAGACGGTGAGCTGAAAGTCACGATGTGGGGCTTGAAACCACAACTTTCTGATTCAGAGGTGAGAGTGCTACCAACTGAGCGAGGCTCATGCCAGGCTGAATTAAATGCCCACAAAAAATCTTGGGGGAGTGGGGTAATCAGCTATTTTATGTAGCCATCATATGGCAGTGATGACACATCAGTGGGAAAGTACAGCAAAGTCAATATTGCATACTATTGATAAGGTAAATGTGAAACAATGTATTTGTTTGGTAACTCATTGCTGCCAGCGATGAAACTATAGATTCAATACAAATATCCCAGTTGCACATTTGCAGTAGATGCTAATATGTTCGA